CTTTCCCTGTCTAAATCTGCCCTACAGCCCCGCACATTTCCTGGCAAAGGAGCCCACAACTGGTAGAGACACACGACACGGAGAAATGTTCCCTCGCAAAGCGGATTCATCCTTGTCGAATCACAGGGGTGCAGGGAAAACAGAGGACTCAGCATGTGACTCTCCCAAAAGAAAACCAAAAAAGACACGTCAGGACAGAGAGAAACCCAAACTGCCAGGACAAGCAGCTGCAAACGAACATCTGGAGCAGATGTTATCTGACTCATTACAGGGAGGGGCAGGAAAGGGGCTCACAACCCCAACCAAAATTGGAGTCCTCTCTGCAGGGAAACCAAATTATCTGGCAGCCAGAGATGGGGAGGGAGCAGGATGGATCTGGTCTGAAGGTGTTAGGAAAAGCTCAGGAAAGAAAACATGATCAGAGGCTACCCACAGCCTTCCTGACACCAGATGAGCTCAGTGAACCAGAGCCGGCCTCCTTGGAGAGCTTTCGGCAAATCCCAACCTGTCCTTTCTGCTGAGAGCAAGGAACGGGAGCTCGCTCAGGCCCCCCATGATGGATCTGGAAGCAGTAACCCCACGTGAAGTGACCTGCCCCTACAGGCAGCGTAGGGGCCAACAGCTCTAAACACCTCTAGCCCATGCGACCGCAAGGCCTGGATATGGCTTTGCATTTTGCCCTCAACATGGCCAAACCAAAGCCCTGCGCTGGTTGGACATCCCTCAGTGCTCATCTGGGGCTCTCCTCCACTCCAAGTCCCTTCTACGTGTCCCGTATTTCATAAAATACATCTCGCAGGTTTGTCATTTCTTGGAGATGAGACATTCAAGAGACCTGGCCGGACTCCTCAGCCCTGCACCCAGGCTATGGCACGATTCCCTGGGAGAAATGGGACTTCCGCACTGACCCAGAAAAATCCCATTAGGTAGAAGGCTACTGGCAGGCGTCCTGGCCTCCTACCAACTACTGAAGGTAAATATGCTGCAATAGTAGTGCAGGGCTCCGCCTCGCCGTGCTAGTGCCAAGCAAAACTGACTCTGAGGAGCTGATATGTGGACAGCCATCTTCTCATCCTACAGCTCCAGCACCTGGGGGAGGTCACCCCGTGCTTGCATGACTTTGGAGGCCGTGAAAATGATGAAGCTTCACATGTTGAGTCATTCCACCATCAGGAGAGGAAGCAATGAATTGCAAAGATACAGAGGTGGTAACTAAATTTACAAGTAGGATCCATTTAAAAAGGAGGAGGAAAAAAAAAAAATCAAAGTAGAGCAAGTTGGAAAATTCTGTTCATTAGTTTTCTTTAAAAAGTTTCAATGAACTATTTCACATTCTCATTCACGTGAGACAGTTCCTCAAATCCTCAGTGAAAAAGGGACCTTTTCTCCCTAAAAAGGTTTAACATTTTTTAGGAAGGAGTTTAATCAGCACCAATAGAAAAATGAACCGAGTGTTCAAAAGGAAGGGTGCCCCTCGGTGGAAATCTCTCCCCCAAACATCACTTGGAAGTAGGGAGCCAAGCAATTACTGGCATACGGATAAATATGGTTGCGATATATAACTGCTGCCACAGAGACATGGACTGATTGTATGGGGGTACACACACCTACGGGGCATCCTCTGAGAAGGTCATTGCCTTAAAACCCAAACGGTTTCAGAGTCCAGGGCTGGCCTCAGAGGATGTGCAAACTGCACAGGCATGGCCCTCTCCCTCCTCAATCCTCGCTGTAACCCAGAGCATCATCCTGAATTCCCTACAGCTTATGGAAGTGGGCTCTCCATTTTTGGCCAGAGGAAGCATCTTTCAGCATCCCCCCTCAGGCTCTAGGTGAAATCAGGGTGAGGATTTTGGTCACGTCCATAACACGCCCCAGGCACAAACTTCACACCGGGGATGGGATTCATCTCCCCTTCCACAGGGAACGTGAGTTCAGTGTCTGGGTCCCATTTGGGTCAAGGGAGACAGGCACCGCCAGAACATAATTTATGAATAATGTTTTCAAGCGGGATGAATCACTCTCTGGAACCACTTTTCTCTGCAACAGAGGGAGCTTGGATCAGCCGTGGTTTTTAGATAGCAAATGTACAGAAAGAAGAATCCCATCGTGCGAGTCTACCTCCTGCCTCGCCCCAGAGCCAGCACTAAATCTTACCCTCTCTCTGCAAAGTAGACCCCCCCCAGGACAATCCGTAAACCTCCCTTTCCCCCTCTCCCGACTACCTAGGAACTAAAGGTCTGGGATTAGCCATAAACAGACTGGGAAATCGTCTTCCAGCATGTGCAAGTGTACCAGGAAGCCAAACCTTGCATCTGGCACCATTCACAGCAGTATCATGAATATTATTAGTAATAGACCTAGCCGTCCTAACGTTATATTTATATATACAAAAATAGATCCACAGAACTCTACGTAAAGAGGTGGCTGAGGGAAGGCGACGGATGAGCCCTGGGTGGCAGGGTCTTGGAGGAAGCCGAGGGACGCGTTGCATATATTTCTCCAGGAGAGCCATTCGCTTCCCTCTGCGCTCACACACCTCGGAGGAGGGACAGGCAGGCAGAGCCGAGCACTGGGACATCATCCCGGCTCCAAATAGATCCACAGAACTCTACGTAAAGAGGTGGCTGAGGGAAGGCGACGGATGAGCCCTGGGTGGCAGGGTCTTGGAGGAAGCCGAGGGACGCGTTGCATATATTTCTCCAGGAGAGCCATTCGCTTCCCTCTGCGCTCACACACCTCGGAGGAGGGACAGGCAGGCAGAGCCGAGCACTGGGACATCATCCCGGCTCCAAACCCCCCCGGCCGATCGGCCGATGTCAGCGGGATCACAACTGAGAGCTGGCACCGCGCGTTTGCAAGCGGAGATGGGGCTGAGTGCAGGACCGGGAGGACCTCCCCCCAAACTGCAGCGACGAGTTGGGCTTATTATCATCACAGCAAGTAAACCATGAAGCACTGACCCCGATTCAGGTTTCCTTCTGGTCTGCAGATGGCCCAGCCCCAGGGCTTGGTTCGGACCCATCTCCGGTTTGCCGCAGGCGGCCGCCGTCGCAGAATACCGTCAGCAGTGCCAGCAGCCTTTGCCTGCCGGCGTGACGCTGGTGTTGGTGTGGCACGCCGGTGGGCCAGGGAAAGCGAGGCGAGGACTCGAAGGCAACTTCTGCAGGGAGGGAAGGTCGGGCTCCTGTCTTCCGACACCCATTTCTGCTCTCTGTTTCCCTCCAGCCCAAAGCAGGAGTTGCAGAAGTCCCCGCTGGGGAGTCCCCCAGGGTTGGTGCTGACAGGGAGAGCAGCGCGAGTGGCAGCTTTTGACACTTGGGTTTGGAGTATTTTGGTTTTTTGAAGTGAATTCAGTGCTGGTGGAAGGTACCAGACTGGGGCTCGAGCACAGAGCTGGTGGCTGCGGCATCTGCTCGGCGGCGGCAGCTCCCATCCCGCCAGGGTTTGCGCTCTGGAGGCAGCCCTTCAAGGCATTGAGAAATGAATGGCAATTTCAAACCAGCTTCTTGTTCTCAGCCAAATCCCAGAGGGGACCTTTCCCTCGCTGCAGTCGGGCAGAAGCGAGTGGGCTGGGCTGCCTCCGATAGCTCCTTCCCCTGCCAGAAGGTTTCTAAAGCTTCCCACACCTTCCCTTCCTCTTTGAAACAGAAAAATACGATGCCACCTCATTTTGAAGCTCGCTTGCTTCTCCCAACGGCTTCCAAGCCCAGGGGGAAGCCGCTGCCACCGGCCGGGGCCTGGCACCCCAGCCCCTTGGGGAAAGCAGAGCCACGGCCACGTGAGAGGAGAGAAGCCGCCCACAAAAAGTGCTGGAGAGAGATAAAGAGAGAGAGAAGGAGGTCTGGCTGCTGGAGGACTCTTGCACAGGGGATGCGTCGACCTGCCTCTTCCCCGCATCGGGAAGGACCACGTCACGAGGCAGCAGCAGCTCCTAAAACCCTCTGAGAGCAGAGTCCCGAGGACCCTCCGGGTTGCCCTTCCCCGCGGGGCACGGCCGGCGAGGGCACCCGCAGCTCTCTCTGCCTCTCCTGGTCCCTCACCCGCGTGTGCAAATCCACCGTTTCCCACCTGCTTGGTGCCAGCTCCCCTGGCCACCCAGCCGCCTTCGTGCTCCCAGAGGCTGGGGGACCCCCAGTTCACCCGTCTCATTCCCGGGAGGTGATGGGGGGTAGCGGGGAGCGCTGCAGAGCGGAGGGAGCCGAGGCAGGAGGAGGATGGAGGGGAAAGGAGGAGGAGGAGGAAGAGGAGGAAGAGGAGTAAAGCCTGCTTCTCCTCCCCGGGAGGGTCATACCGGCTTATCCAGCGTCTTGGGGAAAGGCGTGCCGCTGGAGGAGGAGATCTTTCTGCAGACCGTATTGGTGTGGCTCTGGCAGCGGCAGCCGGGTCGTTTCAGGCCGTCATAACCCCGCTGGCAAAGTTTGAGGCACCCCAGGGTAGGAAAGTAGCAGCAGAGGCAGGGCATGAGGAGAGAGAGGAAGCTCATGGCAGCCCAGCGGGCACAGCAGGACCCCGGCCCGCAGGAGCAGGGGTCGTCGGCGCAGGTGTCCTCGTCGTCGGTGGAGCAGTGGTAGAAGAGACCCTTGACGCAGCAGAGGCAAGTCCCGTAGTCGAGGAGGCTCTCGGGGGAGCAGAGGCAGCGCTGGTTGCAGAGCCAGCAGGAGGGCAGGCTGCGGGCGGCCGTGCAGCGGGCGCACTTGCATCGCCCGCACTCCTCGCAGATGAAGAGGTGGCCGGTGTGGAGGGTGGGCTTCTCCGCCACCCCCTTCAGCGGCGACTCCTCCGGTTTCAGCTCGCCGGCCTGGGGCTGCGTCCGGATGAGGGAATGCCCGGAGTGGGAAGGCGTGAGGCTGCTCAGGAGGCGCTGGTCGGAGGCGGTGGTGCTTTGGGAGACGGAGCTGGCCGTGCTGGAATGGCTCATGTGTTGCTGCAAAGGTGGCATCTGGTGCTGTTGGCTGTGGCTGCGGTGCAGGTCCTGGAAGGTGGAAGACACCAGGCGGTCCTGGGACCACTCTTGCTTGTGTGGTGGCTGGGACAGGGATGGGTTGGAGCGGGCTTGCTGGAAGCAGACGGCCGGTCTCTCCACGTAGTTGTTGCTGGCACGGATGGAGCGGATTTGGTCAATGGACAGGACCTGCTGGAAGTCCTCAGCGGGTGGGTCCATCGTCTCGTCACAACTGAGTTCAGCCACACTGGAAGACAGCTGCATTTCCAGGAGCGAGGAGACCCTGCGGCATCAGGGCACATCCAAAAATCCTAAAGGATGGGGCAGGAAGACAGAGAAAACATTTGTGTTACGTTTTATAATGGATCCATCCGTACAAACCAGGAAGCAAAGACTGGCCGGAGAACTCCGAATGAAGTTATTTCCAACAAACAGACTCAAAGTACTTCTGTGCCTGGGGAGACTTAGGCTGGGCACGTCCAAAAGGCAAGGGCCGTAAGATCTGTCCCTTGAAACAGGTGGGCGCAGCATCTCCCCGCGCTTTTGAGCTTTTCGTGTCCTTCCAGAGGATTTCCCACCCTTGCCAGCACTGACGGACCCCGCCTGTCCTCCCTCTCCTTCCCCAGGGGAAAGTGCAGGCCCTCGCTAGAGGAGGGGAAACTTGAAGCTGTGACTTATCCAAGGCCAGTGACAGAACTGGGAACGGCGTCTCCTCCGGAGCAGGAGACTCTGTTTTGGGGCTCCCCAGCACACCCCGAGCAGCCTCCCGGTGCCGTACCCTGTACACACCAGGGGCACGGGAAGGGAGGGGACCTGAGCGCTTTTAATTTCAGGCAGCATCAGCAACAAATTGCAACTAATGAGACACACACTTGGCCAGGGAGAGGCCAAGCCCACAGACTCCCCAGGTCCCAGCGGTTCCCGCTGCAGCATCCCGTTTTCCCACGCGCAACCCGGCCACAGCCCAGGAACAAATTTACCCCCGTCACCAACACAGGGTGAAGCAGGGAAAGCAGACTTCGCAGCAGGCAAGCCCCGTCTTGCTCCTTGCACCGAAGCTGCCATGCTGTTTGCTGTTCTTTTCAGGAAATGGCACTTCCCGAGCGCTGGCAGCAGCGCCTGCCTTATCCAGAGGGAAGGTCAGGAGCATCCGAGGGCTGGGGGCTGGCGCAGGGAGGACCCCCGCATCCCACAGCTCCCACCCCGGCAGGTTTGACCTCACGGCATCAGCACGCTCGCCAAATCCTCGGGCGTCCGGGTGAAACCTCAGTGGGGATGGGGCTGGGAGAGGAGAAGGGGCAGGCAGGAGCGGGGCTGCGACGGAGCCAGGTCTTGGCCCTTAGGAGGGAGGGGGAGAGAAAATTCCCACTTCTGCCGCCTGCAAAACGGAGCTGCCCAGGAGCGCAGAGGACGGAAGCCATTCGTTGCATGCCAGACCCCAGCAAAGAGCTCTCCCCCGGCACTTCCAGCCCAGATTTCAATATCGGATACGTGCTTTCCGTGCACGGCCAACTTCCCCGGGACAAAGCCGTTCTCCTCTGGCAGATCAAATGAGTGATCCCTCAGTGACACAGATATTGTCACGGTGCCCAGGCCCGCAGGAAGACTCTGTTTCGATAGGAAGCTCCCCACCGGCCTTGCACATGGTCAGCAGGCCAGGCGGCCGGCAGCGGCGGAGGCTTTCAAGTAGGTGAGGGGCCACAGGTAGAATCTGCTCATGCAGCAGAGAGAGGCAGAGGGAAGATTGATTTTCATTAGCTAGGCTGACCTTGAAGAGCAGGGAAAAGCAAAGGCAACTTACTTTGACTGTTCAAGCAAGAGCTGGTCTCTCCCATCCCCCTCCCCGGAAAGAAAAGGCCACTGATGGGCTCAGATTTGGGATTTTCCTGCGCATGGAGCCCACCTGCCGCCCCCCTCCGTGCGATCTCAAGCGGGATGCTCACCCCGTCCAGGGAGATGCAGACGGTGAATGAGTCGCTCTCCCAGGACACCCGCAATCGATTTGGACGCCGATTCGTTTAACAGAAATAGCAAGGTGAATGAGGAGGGCACGGCAGACCCAGGGAAGGTTTTCCGAGCACGCTGCCAGGATGGGAAGGGGCCACAGAGGCAAAGCAGCCTCTCGTGAGCTGTTGCCTGCCGCCACCGAGCTCCTCACCTGGGAAGGGCTTGCTAAAGCACAGGCTGCTGACCTGAAGCCCCCTGAAGAGATACGATACATCTCAGCCTGCAGCCAGGACCACGCAGAGGGGAGCGGAGAGCAGCCTCAGGGGATTCCCACGTCCCTCATGACCCAGGTCCCATCTTGGGGTGGGATCGTCCCGGGGACGATGCTGATTTACACCCAGGGAGGAGCTGCTCACATCTGGGTGTCCATCCCCTCTCACCTGTGCGCTGGGATTTGGCACTGCTTGGGCATTAGGACCCCCAGGAGGTCCCGAGGCAGGACCTGACGGGAGAGACCCGGGCAGCGGCGGGTCCTGCCGCGATGGAGGCAGTGGAACGGGGAGATAAAGAGCAGCCAAAGGGCAGAGCCAGTACAGCTGCACCCCATCCTCCATGCAAGACACGGAGCTGAGGAGACACGAGGAGACCCGTGAGCCATGCTTAGGCAAGAGGCGATGCGCAGGGGACGCTGCGAGGAGGAACAGAGCCCCGGGGACAGCAGCCATGGATGGGAGCTGGCAATCGGGCCGTGCAGCGCGTTGCAACCCCGGACACTTAGGATCTGGGTGCAGGGCTGGGACGCAGCATCCCGGGCGAGACAGGTCCTGGGAGGATCCCCAGTGCCGAAGCGGGGCCCGAGCGCTCCTGGTCCTGCGATTCCCAGGCGCAGGGGTGAGACACAGACCCAGACTTGCTGCCTGGGGGAGGCACAGGTACCTATGGG